CCAAGTCTGTAGATAAAAGTAAGATTTTCCAGGTAGTCAACGTGACAGGAGTGATGATGCTGCAGAAGGACCTCATAATCAGAGAACTGAGCCGAAAGTATGATACGAACCACAGTGTGGCCAAGCACAGGGCAATATAATTTAGGAAAAAACACTCTAACACCATTGATAAAAGACAGTTATGACTAAAATAAACCTCGGAGCATTCACAGATGTTCCCTAAAAATACAAGTCTAGTGAACTGTAGACACCAAAAACCCAATGGTATGACTACTATGTGCTTCAACTGGGACATCCAAGGAAGATATACGGGGTTAGGAAAAGAAAGTTAACAGAAATGATTTGTGAAACTGGGGTCAGAAGGTTGGAATGAAACATAGGCTGAAGATTAGGGCAACAGTATCTGAATACAAGGAAGACAGAAATAAAATCATGAAAGGTAGTAATAGAATATGAGTAACAATGGTGACTTACGGTTGTTCAGGGCTTCCTACGTGCCAATCACTTTCTAAGCACTCTGTGCATATGTTAACTCTGTTTAATTCTCTCAACACCTTATTACCTGCATTTTACAAATGAAGAATTAGAACACAGAGGTAAGTAACCTGCCCAAAGTCACATCTCAGTTAATGCCAATGCCATCTTCCTGTGCTAAGTAGCAGCACAGGAAGTCCAACCCAGGTAGCCGGATGCTGAGCCTGTGCTCTAACCACACCGGCCCTGGAGGAGTCCAGGAGGGTATATTGTGCAGCTGGGCATCAAATCCCCTAACCTCAGTATTAAGGAAGACCTCCTGAAGCTGAAGGAAGTACAACTTACAAAGTAAAAAACTCCTTAATAGACAATGATGGACTAAAAACAGCAATACCTTCAAGAAAAGTAGGTAAGTAGGTTGATAAGCTAAGCATAAAGAGTTACAGAGAGAAGCTAGGAATAATTTACTCTTAACTTCCTGAGTTTGAAATTATGTAAAGTACACATGCCCTCCGACATATCCCTTGCTGCTACAATCAGAGGCAGAGTAGGCTGGTAACTGGTCTGCTCCTATTATGTACTGCCCAGATTTTTACAAACATCATAAGGACATACTTTTTCTTGATACAATTTCTAAAAATATGAAAATGTGTATTATGAGCATCCGGTTATAAACTTCATCTTACAAATGATTCGTGAATATGAGTGAAATGTCTAGGAGTCCACTTTAGTCAGTATCTTTACACAACTACTTTTTATTTCCCAGTTCAGGAAATCTGAAGAATGATTAATCTAGATCGGCATTCTCCACACTATTCTATGGAGATTAATGTTAAGAAGTTACTAAATACTGAAGGAAAAGAATTCCAAATTCAAATAAATCTTTTCTTTAGAGATTCACAGGGCACGTGTAGCATGAAGAATCCCACATTAACGAATCCATTTAACTTTAACCTGCATTTCTCTTCGACCATGGAACTTTTTTTCTTTTTCGTAGAGCATTTATAAATTACAGACATAAGTTATATACTGCAAAGTCTGAGAAACACTGACCCAGATGCGCGCTTTTATAAAAATGCAAGAGAACTGCTTTTACGAGAGCATCTCTGAACATGCCTAGGAGTAACGTGAACTTTTAATTTTCTCAAGGTGTTGGAGGTGGGACATGTGCATCCTGAATTCACTTTCTCATGAGAACAGATTACGAAGTTTAGGTGTAACCAGAATGAAGTGACACAATCCCAGGACTCTAGCACTGGTTATCACCCACAGTCTGCATGGAGGGAAACGAAGACCCAAGGACACCACCGCTCTCCTGACTGTCCTCTCACACCACAGACCACTCCTTCTCGGTTCCCTAACCTAGTACTGTCCGACCGCCCAGAGTATGCAGACCTTGCTCTTTGTGTCTCTCTTCTGTATCCCTTGGTGATTTCATATAGGCCCATGATTTTTTTTGTAATTGAACTTATGTTAATTGTAGATTCACATGTAGTTGTAAAAAAAAATAATATAGAAAGATTCTATGTACCTTTTACGCAGTGTCCCCCAGTGGTAACACCTTACAAAACTGTAAAACAACATCACAACCAGGATACTGACAGTGATACAAGGCACCAATCTTTTGAGATTTCCCCAGTTTTACTTGTATTCATTCTCATGACTTTAAAAAATATTAAGCGTTATTTACAGCCTAGAATGCTCCCCTAAACTCACACACAAGAATGTCTACGACATTCCCCCACTGGATATCTAAGAGGTATCTCAAACTAAAACATGTCCCAAATCAAAGTCCTCATCTTCCCTTTCCCAATCTGCTCCTACCACCTTTTCCATCTCAGTTAATGCCAATGCCATCTTTCCAGCTGCTCAGGCTAATAACTGTGGACTCATCTTCAACATCTTCTTTCTCTCACACCTCACATGCAAACCATCAACAAATTCAAACTATATGCAAAATTAAACCATTTAATCACCTACACTGCCAGTATCCTAACCTAAGCTCCTATCATCTCCTACTTGGATTATTACAACAGTCCCCTAACTGATCTCCCTGATTCTACCTTTGGTCTTCTATAGCTTGTTCTCAAGACATGAGCCCGAGTGATCCTGTTAAAACACTCTTTTGTATTAAAGGGTTTTTGTTTATTTTGGCTTTTATTATTTTATTTTAAAACATTCCTCTATTCAAAATCTTCTATGCTATCTCAGAGTAAAAGCCAGTTCCTCACAATGGCCTTTAAGGCCCCACACCACATTACTTTGCAGGCCTCATCTCAATACTCTCACTGACACTCACCCCACTGTAGCTGCACAGTCTCCTTGCTGTTTCCTGAACTCGACGGGATTCCGCTGCAGGGCTTTTGCACTTGCTGTTCCTTTTCCCTGGAATGCTCTTCTGATACAGAGCCACGCAAGTCACTTCCTCACCTCCTTTAGGTTTCACTCCAATGTCGTCTCTCAATAACGCCTGCCCAGGCCACCAAATTAAAAACGGCAACCCCCCAACCCCACTTCATACTCCCTATCGTCCTTCTCTACTTTTTCTCCATAGTATTGATCCCCATCTGTCATAAAACTATTTGTCTTGTCTGTCTCCCACCACTAAAATGCAAGCTCCCTGAGTACAGCGATTTCAGTCTGCAAGCCAAGCAATAAGGCTTCCCTACAACAATTAAAACAATGCTCCTATTTATATAAAAATACCTGCAGCTTTTATATAAAGCTATTCATTAGCAAATTAATTCTTCAGGCGCTTAAACAGAACAATTTATTAAAAGCAAGTAATAGCACCAAAATGTTTTAGAAGATTTATATTCAATGTAACCAAAATAAACACCTACTGTGAAAAACTATGTATGTATATGTACGTGTGTATATACGTTGTGTATGTATGTGTGTGTATATATATGTATATGTGTGTGTAGGTATATAAATATATACACACAAGTACATTATTGATTCCCATTTTTTTTAGTATGTTACCTTTACTCAAAGGAACTACATTCACGGCTATGTAGAGATATATATCATGTGAACAAATATGTAAGTTTAAAACTTGTTTTAAGGTCTGCAAGAAAAGGTTGTTCCAATTATTAATACCTTACAACTCCTAATCATTAAGATAATATTAAAAATTATAGTCCCAAGAATAGACAGAGTATATAATAATGTCTAATGGTCTGAACAACTGCCAATTTAGGAAGCTACAAATGGGCAGCTATATGAAATCTGTAGAGAATTCTAAGGAATCTTAGAGTCCTCAACAAAACAAAGCGAACACTAAATAATATTTTTAAAGAAAAAATATAGACATCGATAAATTTGGTGAACATAAAACCAAACTACCAAAATTAATTTTTTTTAAATAAAAAATTTGAAAATTAGTATTGTTGAAAAAATTATAGGGTGAATGCTAGATACCATATTTTACATGACAGTAGAAGAGCTGTGATTCGGCAGATAGTTTCAGAGACCTGCCGCCCGAGGACACGCACGTGAGCACGTTTCCTAACCACCAGGGCTCTCTGACCCTTAGACTGCACTCACGCCAGAGGGGCTTTAAAGAGCAGCAGCCAAAGGGGTTCAACATCAACTCGGACACGAAAGCACTCATTTGATGGCCTTTTCTTGGCTGGAATGGACACACAGGCCTAAGATCAAGAGACAAAGGCCCTTTTGGGAGTTGTGTTTAATTTAGCAGGCCGTGAGCTAGCTCTGGCCACATCAGCATCAGCCTTATGGGAGGCGAGCCATGCACGAAGGGCATCGCCCAAGATCTGATGTCTTGAGGCCACAGCCTACAACAGGTCTCACAGTCCAATTATTCACATTCTTTGGAAAGAGAGAACAGGCATCGGTTGTGTCCATCGAAGGGGGACACTGTCCAGGTGTACCCTGGACATTTTTGGGAACCTCTGGGCTGCTTCTGCATCTGAAAAATAAGAAAAATAGCACAATGACAGACAACGAATGAGGAAAAAGACCATCACCTGACCTGAAACTTAAGACATATAAGAAATTAAGAAAGCAGACAAAACAGACAAAAAGACAAACAACCATATCATTTGGAATATATGATTCTGAAGGCAGTACAGCAGAGGAAAACACAAATTATTTTAAGCAACATAAGAAAAGACTACAGCAACAAAAGTTACTTTTGGAGAGAGCCAACTGCAGATAAAAACCTGTGTTAAGATATGTCAACCTGACAGAAAGATAAGGTGGAATAAGAATCCAGTCCCATTTGAAAGCTGAAAAGAGCTGAATAATGAGAGCTAGTGTCATGAACTTGGCTGCTTAACTGCCTTTGTGTAAGAAAACATCTCAGAACTTTGAACCTAGGAAATTCCAACTTGTCTTGCACCAGGTCACGAGCTCCATAGAGCAGAAATCTATTTCAACAAGCAGCTTAAAACAAAAAATAAAAACTTTTGTATTTTTCATTTGTATTAATGATACACTAAAAAATGCAACAGTGCTAAAATTCATCTAAGTAAAACGCACTGAATAAAAATTAAACTTACTCAGAAAGATGTTCAGAAGTTGGGATACAAACAGAAACTGAAATTAGAAGAAAAGTTTTACATTTAAAACAGCATATGAAATATGATAAGTGAGAATAGTGATTTAGAAAAAAGCCCATACTGTGGCTGATCAAAAATACTGGAATAAATATCAAAGATCCAAAGTAACACAATTACATATACGTACCAGTCTTCATTATAACTTGGCAAGTATGAGTTTCACGTTGACTTAAGTGTGTAGCCATATTATCTAAGCCAGAAACATCAGTTAGGAAATCACAATTAAGGCACACTATAGTAATGCCCCTACAAAAAAAAGCAAATAGTATATAAAGAAAAGGTTGTTATTTTTTTTGGATAATCCATACACAAGTTCAGTGATTATTTCTCCATGTAATAACTCACTTCCCATTTTTGTTGTATGTAACTGAAATAATTTTCTAGAAAACAGCATAGCCATTTCCAAATTATGCAACCATTTATTTCCAAGAAGTATTTGTGCTTCATGAACTTACCTCTCACACTGGTTGCTAAAAGGTAAGAAGTCAAGAGCCCTACAGCACAGACTTGGCTCCACTAACAACCTGTTTAACTAGGGCAAGTCACGATCTACCTGTGCCTCTGCCCATCTGCAAAGCAAGAATACAGCATTCACTCATTCAGTATACTTTTACTCAGGCCGTCTTTACACATATTGTTCTACTAGGTACTGTGGACAGAACGGTGAACAAAAGAGGTAGTCTGTGTTCTGATGGTGTTTACAGTCCGGTGTCTTATTTTAGGTGAGGATAAAATTAGAACACAAATATGAATGCTTTAAAAATAGACCATATAATGTGATTATTGTTAATGACAGTTTATTAACAAAGTATGAATAGACTTCTGAAGTTCATCACATACTTTCAGTAGTTTCTGTGTATAGGAACACAAACAAGCAACACACCTCACACTGGCTTCTCCCCTGAAGCTCTAGTTTATCTAACAACCTACAGTGTAATCACATCTATGTGTAGAACCGGACCATCAACACTGACCTTTATGAAAGTGGAATCCTGTGCTTCCTCCCAAAATCAACTCCCCCCAGCTGGCCTTTCCTTTGACATTAAAGCTCAAACTATACAGTTATCTCTGACTCCCTTTTTCCTTAAAAAACTCAATATGTCAAGCATTTTACAAGACTAACAATTCACTGAGTACTTACTCTGTGCCAGACTAACCGTTTAGACATATTGTCTCATCTAAATCTTACAACCCAAAGAGGTAGGTGCTATAATGATCGCCTTTTTAGAGAGGACAGAGTTAGCCTGGTAATCAACCAAGGACACAGAGTTGGTGAGGGTAAGGACTAGGTTTGAAATTTAGCACTTTGTTTCCAGAGCCCATGTTCTTCAACAGGATGTAATACTGCCTCACCATTTTAACTCAAGTCCTTTAAATAATTCATAATTGCCACACTAGTTCTAACGAATCCTGTGACTCACGCATCTACCACTCACCTTGCATACCTTGCAAATCCACTTTCCTTCAGTATCACTTGATTCTACACAAAACATCACTGGTTCCCCAATGCCCTCCAAATTAAGTCCAAACTCCTTTGCCTTACTTTCAAGGCTTTCAAAATTTGGTTCAAAGTTTAAAACAATTCCCCCAGATTTCAACCTTATTCCTATGTTATATGAACGTCGTGCTCCATCCAAACTTTTCTATCACCCCATCCTCTGTATGCCTTGTTTTTCCCTTTCTGTACATTTATTCTGCTATTTCATCCAACTAGACTGCCCTGTGCCTCTTCTATTAGTAAAAGGAAGAGATCATCCTTGAAAGCCAAGTATGCCTAACCCCAGTAATCTCTCTCCCTTTAAAAGTAAATAACTCTCAGGGCATTTACTTCAATCTTCCTTGTATTTCTGTGGTTATTTATGTTCATACCTTATTTCCCACCCAATAATCTATGTGTTCCTTGAACGTTGGTCCAAGACGACTTGTTCGTTACTGTTTTATAGGACCTGCTACACTGTGCTGCACATAACAGATGCATGACAAACAGCTAAAGAATGAATATTTCCTTTAAAAAATTATAATTACAAAATGCATTATTCTGTAGAATTATAAACACATCAAGTTCCATTCACAGAAACTGCTCAATTTTCTATTAAAATTTGAGACCAACCTAAGTAGAGGGAAAAAAGTATCTCATGTCTGTAAAATCATATAGTTAATTTCCTTTTCTTTTTTCTTTAATGTTGTAGTTTAAGTAAACGTTTACAATTCAAGTTAGTCTCTCATACAAAAATTTATACATACATTGTTGTGTGACCCTAGTTGCTCTCCCTACACTGTGACAGCACACTCCTCCTTTCCACCCAATTTCCCGTGTGTATTCAACCAGCTCCTGACCCTCTCTGCCTTCTCATCTCACCTCCGGACAGAAACTGCCCGTTTAGTCTCATATATCTTCACGAGTATCATTTTATGTTCCATAGTCTCGTCTAATCTTTGTCTAAAGAGTTGGTCTTGGGAATTGTTTTAGTTCTGGGTTGACACAGAGTCTGGGTGCCATGCTTTCTGGGGTTCCTCCAGCCTCAGTCAAACCATTAAGTCTGGTCCTTTTACTAGAATTTGAGTTCTGCACCCCACCTTTCTCTTGTTCCATCAGGGACTCTCTGTTGTGGTCCCTGTCAGGGTGGTCACTGGTGGTAGCCGGGCACCATCTAGTTCTTCTGGTCTCAGGATGATGCAGTCTCGGGTTTATGTGGCCCTTTCTGTCTCTTGGGCTAATATTTTCCTTGTATCTTTGATGTTCTTCATTGTCCTTTACTCCAGGTGGGTTGGGACCAACTGATGCATCTTGGATGGCTGCTTGCTAGCCTTTAAGACCCCAGATGCCTCTCACCAAAGTGGGATGCAGAACATTTTCTTAAACTTTGTTAGGCCAGTTGACCTAGATGTCCCCTGAAACCATGGTCCCCAGACCCCCACCCCTGCTACTCTGTCCCTCAAAGTGTGTGGCTGTATTAAGGAAACTTCTCAGCGCTGGTTTAGTCCAGTTGTGCTGACTTCCCCTGTAGTGTGTGCTGTCCTTCCCTTCACCTAAGATAATCCTTGTCTATTTTCTAGTTAGTGAATACCCCTCTCCCTCCCTCCTCACCCTCATAGTCATCAAAAGGATGTTGTCTTCTGTGTTTAAACCTTGTATTGGGTTCTTATAATAGTGGTCTTATACAATATTTGGCCTTTTGCAACTAAGTTCACTCAGCATTATACTTTCCAGATTCCTCCATGTTACGTTTAACAGATTCATCGTTGTTCTTTATCGTTGTGTAGTATTCCATTGTGTGGATATACCATAATTTCTTTATCCATTCATCCACTGATGGGCCCCTAGGTTGTTTCCATCTTTTTGCTATCGGAACAGTGCTGCAATGAACATGGCTGTGCATATATCTATTCGTGTGATGGCTCTTATTTCTCTAGGATACATTCCATGGAGCAGGATTGCTGGATCATATGGTACTTTTATTTCTAGCATTTTAAGGAAGTGCCAAATCGATTTCCAAAGTGCTTATACCATTTTACATTCCCACCAACAGTGTATAAGTGTTCCAGTATCTCTACAACTTCTCCAACATTTACTATTTTGTGTTTTTTGGATTAGTGCTAGCCTTGTTAGGGTGAGATGGTATCTCACTGTAGTTTTGATTTGCATTTCTCTAATGGCTAATGATCATGAGCATTTCTTCATGTGTCTGTTAGCCACCTGAATGTCTTCTTGTCAAAGTGCCTGTTCATATCCTTTGCCCATTTTTTAATTGGGTTATTTGTCTTTCTGTTGTTGAGGTTTTGCAGTATCTTGTAGACTTTAGAGATTAGATGCTGATCGGATTTGTCGTAGCCAAAAATTTTTTCTCAGTCTGTAGGTTGTCTTTTGACTCTTTTTGGTGAAGTCTTTTGATGAGCATAGTGTTTCATTTTTAGGACCTCCCAGTTATCTAGTTTCTCTTCTGGTGTTTGTGCATTGTTACTTATGGTTCATATTCTATTTATGCCATGTATCAGGGCTCCTAGTGTTGTCCCTATTTTTTCTTCCATGATCTTTATACTTTTCGATTTTATATTCAGGTCTTTGATCCATTTTAAGTTCGCTTTTGTGCATGGTGTGAGGTATGGGTCTTGCTTCAGTTTTTTGCAGATGGATATCCACTTATGCCAGCACAATTTGTTAAAGAGACTGTCTTTTCCCCAATTAGCAGACTTGGGGCCTTTGTCAAATATCAGCCGCTCATAGGTGGATGAATTTATGTCTGGATTCTCAATTCTGTTCCATTGGTCTATGTATCTATTGTTGGACCAGTACCAGGCTGTTCTGACTACCGTGGCAGTATAATCAGTTCTAAAATCAGGTAGTGTGGGGCCTCCCACCCTGCTCTTCCTCTTGAGTAATGCTTTACTTATTTGGGACCTCTTCCTCTTCCATATGAAGTTGGTGATTTGCTTCTCCATCTCATTAAAAAATGCCGTTAGAATTTAGATCGGGATTGCACTGTATCTGTAGATTGCTTTCGGTAGAACTGACATTTTCACAATGTTGAGTTTTCCTAACCATGAGCAAGGTATGTTTTTTCATTTATGCAGGTCTCTTTTGGTTTCTTGCAGTAGTGTCTTGGAGTTTTCATTGTATAGGTCTTTTACGTCTCTGGTTAGATTTATTCCTAAGTATTTTATCTTCTTGGGGGCCACTGTAAATGGTATTGATTTGGTGATTTCCTCTTGTAAGTTCTCTTTGTTGGTGTAGAGGAACCCAACTGATTTTTGTATATTTTTCTTGTATCCTGATACTTTGCTGAACTTTTCTTTAGTTCCAGTAGTTTTCTTGTGGATTCTCTGAGGTTTTCTGTATACAAGATCATATTATTGGCAAATAGAGATACTTTGACTTCTTCTCTACCAATCTGGATGCCCTTTCTTTCTTTTTCTTGCCTTATTGCTCTGGCTATCACCTCCAGTACAATGTTGAATAAGAGTGGTAATAAAGGGCATCCTTGTCTGGTTCCCGTTCTCAAGGGGAATGCTTTCAGACTCTCTCCATTTAGGATGATGTTGGCTGTTGGCTTTGTATAAATACCCTTAATTATGTTTAGTGTCATGGATTGAATTGTGTCCCCAAAAAATATCTGTCAACTTGGCGGGGTCATGATTCCCAGTATTGTATAATTTTGTACTATTTTGTAACCTGATGTGATTTCCTTAGGTGTTGCAAATTCAGTCACTATGATCTAATAAGATGGATTAGCGTCAGTTATACTGATGATATATACAAGATTCAATAGAGTCTTAAGCCAATCTCTTTTGAGACATAAAAGAGAGAAGTGAGCAGAGACATATAGGAACCTCACACCACCAAAAAAGCAGTGCTGGGAGCAGAGTGTGTCCTTTGGACCTGAGGTTCCTGCACTGAGATGCTCCCAGACCAAGGGAAGACTGATGCATCACAAGGACCTTCTTCCATAGCCAACAGAGAAAAATGCCTTCTCCTGGAGCTGATGCCCTGAATTTGGACTTGTAGCCTACTGGACTGTGAGAGAATAAAATTCTCTTTGTTAAAGCCATCAACTTGTAGTATTTCTGTTATAGCAGCACTAGATGATTAAGACGTTGAGGAATTTCCCTTCTATTCCTATTTTGCTTAGAGTTTTTATCATGAATGGGTGTTGGACTTTGTCAAATGCCTTTTCCGCATCGATTGATAAAATCATGTGGTTCTTGTCTTTTGTCTTATTTATGTGATGGATTACATTGTTTTTCTGATGTTGAACCATCCCTGCATACCTGGTATGAATCCCACTTGATCATGGTGAATTATTTTTTTTGATATGTTGCTGAATTCTACTGGATAGAATTTGGTCGAGGATTTTTGCATCAATGTTCATGAGAGATATTGGTCTGTAATTTTCTTTTTTTGTGGTGTCTTTACCTGGTCTTGGTATCAGGGTTATGCTGGCTTCATAGAATGAGTTTGGGAGTATTCCATCCTTTTCTATGCTCTGAAATACCTTTAGTAGTAGTGGTGTTAATTCTTCTCTGAAAGTTTGGTAGAATTCTGCAGTGAAGCTATCTAGGCCAGGGCTTTTTTTTTGTTGGGAGTTCTTAAATTACCTTTTCAGTCTCTTCTTTTGTCATAGGTTTATTTAGTTGTTCTAGCGGTTTGTATTAGATTATGTAGGTAGTGAGTTTCTAGAAATTTGTCCATTTCCTCTAGGTTTTCAAATTTGTTAGAGTACAATTTTTCATATTATTCTGTTTTGATTCTTTTAATTTCAGTTGGGTCTGTTGTGATATCACCCACCGCATTTCTTATACAGGTTATTTGCTTCCTCTCCTGTTTTTCTTTTGTCAGTTTGGCCAATGGTTTATCAATTTTGTTGATCTTTTCAAAGAACCAGCTTTTGGTCTTGTTAACTCTTTCAATTGTTTTTCTATTCTCTATTTCACTTAATTCTCCTCTAATTCTTATTATTTCCTTTCTTCTGGTGCCCGAGGGCTTCTTTTGCTGCTCTGTTTCTACCTGTTCCAGTTGTGAGGTTATAAACCATAAAGTTAATTTAAGAACCAAACATATAGCTAAGCTTGACAACAGTGAGGTAAAAATCAAGGCCTCATCTTTAAAATGCAATAAAACCCTTTTCACTCTTATAAATATTTTCAATAAAAGCACAAAAAGATCAAGAGGGCTGGGGGTGAAGCATGGGAGAGAGGATGTAGTTTTAAATACAGTGGTCAAGGAAAGCCTCACTCCTCAGAGTAAACAGCTATTGAGGGAGTTGCCATGCAGGTAAGTGGAGAAAAGAAAACTAGGTGGTGGGAATAATAAACACACAGGTCCTCAGACATGACATTCATTACTCCTTCGTCTGCTCTTTCCCCTAACCCCAAAGCATCAAAACAAGTATGGGCTAAACTTATCCCTATATCTTAGTTTAGTGCAACAAAGACATTGATAATCTTAAGTAGCAATGCCAACATGAGTGAAATGGACAAAAAAGGACTGAACACAAAAGAAATCAGAAGAATATGAAAAGATGGCACTCAATGGATTCTGAGTGTGTGGTATAACCAAAGTTAATTATCAATGCCTTTAGAACATTCACCAACAGTTCTTTCTCCATGGTAAACAAGTTCTGCACTTTATTTCAAACAGGAAAAAACTAAGAATTATGAAGGCTATATACTGATTTCAAGAATTCCAGTGGTTTAAGAGACTCCTTCAAAACTGAGAAAGTGTTACTCACTTTACTAGATATCTTAAATGTCTTTTTAAATATTCAAATATTTACAGAGAATCTTATTTTTTATTCTTATTTTACAATGAAAATGTATGAAGGTTTCACCTTGATGGCTGAAACCACTGAAACAAAGTTTAGCATGAGATGACAGGATATTTACACCTTTGGTATAAGGATATAATGAAAAAACTGTTGCGTCCAGTAGCAATCATTTAAATTTCTAAATGAGGAACCCCAACATCAAGTTAAGAAAAAGTTATAACAAACCATAAACCACGTCATATCTGCTAGAATGGCTGTAATAAAAAAAGATAATAACAAGTACTGGCAAAGATGTGGCGTAATTGGAACCTTCACACACTGCTGGTAGGAATTTAAAATAGTGCAGCTACTTTGGAAAACAGCATGGCAGTTCCTTAAAAGGTTAAGCATAGAGTTACCATATAACCCCACAATTCCAATCCTAGGTATACACCCAAAAAAAATGAACACACATATCCACACAAAAGCTTGTACACAATGTTCATAGCAGCATTATTCATAACACTCAGAGTGAAAACAACCTAAATGTCCATCAACTGATGAATGGGTAAAGAAAATATAGTATATCCATACAACAGAGTATTATTGAACAATTAAAAAAAAAAACAAAGTACTAATACATGCTACCATATGGATGAACCTTGAAAACATAAAGCAGTCATAAAAGACCAAATATTGCATGAGTCTAATTATATAAAATGTCCAGAATAGACAAATATATAGACAGAAAGTAGATTAGCTGCTTAGAGACGAGAGTTTGGAGGAAAGTGGGAGCAATTGCTGATGGGTACTGGGCTTCTTTCAGGAGTAATGAAAATGTTCTAAGATTGTGGTGATGGTTGCACAACTCTGTGAACACAGTGAAAGTTACCGAATTGTACACTTGAAATGGGTAATTGTATGGTATGTAAATTATGTCACAATAAAGCTATTACGTAAATTTTTAAAAAGTTATAACAACTTTTCAGTAGAAAGAGTGAAAGAAGATAAACTAGTTACCTGAGATCTTCTGAATGCTTCTTAAAAATACAGAACCTTTTACTTGGACGGTTACTATGAAAGCTGGAGAGACAAAAGAGATTTTATTAATTTTATTATACAGTAAATCATGATTAATTTTATGACCATATTTCAAGTCTATGCATACGCTTCTTAGCTTTGAATAAGATTATGATCTAAATAATAAAATTACATTTGTTATCCTGTTATTTCAAGATTTTATCTTACATCTCATTTTATCTGTTTATTTTCTAAGGCCATGTATTTCCCTAGGCATATTCTTAGATGATCAATACCTTACCATTTTATTTAAAAAAAAAAACTCAAGAGTTAAAAATGTACAGAGAATCGAATTTTTTTTCAACTATTAAGAATTGAGAACAATTTCAATTTTTTGCTAATAACGTTTGTTTTTGCTATAATTATCAAGAAAAATTATTATTTATCATTTTCCAATCTTCATATGCTTGTGTGTAAGAAAAGGGATAGAATCTAAATAATCTTGGAAATAAACACTACTTAAGCTGTTTACATCTGTAAAATCAAACATTTAGAGAGTTCTCTGCAATTACTTGGAGAGGTTTTAAAAAGCGAATTAAAGCAGAACTCATGAGTTAAATAATGCTTCCCCTAAGCACAAAACAGAAAACCACTAACCAAACTCTGCAGCCAGTGGTAACAGCTTACAACCAAGCTTGCTGCCATCAAGTCAATTCCAGCTCACAGCAACCCCATGTTACGGAGCAGAACTGCTCCATAGGGTTTTCTTGGATATAATCTTTACTAAAGCCAGTTGCCAGGCCTTTTTTCCACAGTGCTGCTAGGTGTGTTCGAACTGCCAACCTTTAGGTTAGTGGTCCAGCGCAAACTGTTCACGCCACCCAAGAACCTATTAGCTTATACACCCTGTTAAAATTGGTAAGGAAAGCCTTCCTGTACAAGAAAGCCAGGATTAGTCCAATATAGTATTATTAAAAGTGTGGCCAGAGTTAAACAGCATTAATACCACCTGGGAGCTTCTTTAGAAATGCAAAGTCTTGGGCCCCAACAAACCTATTGAATCGATCTCTGTGAGGCTGAGGAATCTGCTTTATCACGTTTTTTTGCGGGAGTGATTCTTATGCAAGCTTGTTTGAAAAGTAGTAGCTTGCACAGACGGACCCAAAGTAGTCAACACACCAAGTCAATGGTTATTCTCAGATAGAAGGTAATGGTCACCCACCCACACAGCACGCCCAGAAAATATCCTTGGAAGATTTCTAATAGTCATTTCTTCAATCAAAGGGTAACTACAATTAAGAATTTACAAATTTAAGACACCATCCCAACAATAATTACATGTTTTTTTAGAAGTCAAGGGGTTGGAAAGTCTTGGAATTACATGCAAAGTTTTGTGTACATATCTGTGTTTCCCAGAGGAAGGAATGAGTCCAAGATTTTATCAGAATCCACAAAGAACATGAACCAAAATAAGCTTTTTTTTTTTTATTGAGATTTAAAAGTAACTTTTAAAGGCTCTTCTTTTTCTTCAAACAAGTGGACTTTTTTTGGCTTATTATCTACTTGGTAAGGGGAGAGAAAAAATTACATTTTAGTTTGTTCTTTTTTTATAGCTTCCACCTCTCCTGCCTAAAACTTGCACCTCATGAAAATGTAGTTGCCCAAGTCCAGTTTCAATTCTGAGTCCCATCTATCTATTAAAAGAAAAAACTGGTGCCGCCTCATTTATTTCTCTAAGTTTAGTACACAAATTCCATATTTGCAGTTTTGTGTACTGTAGGAGATCCACCACTCACAAATAAAAAGGCAAAAATAAGATCCTTCTACTCCCTATTAGAGTGCATAAAGTTAATGGCATAAAGAAACGTAAGTTCAACAGAAAAAAGGTTAATATTTTTATTACAATATAATAAAAATATGTTAAGATCTAGGGTTAAAAAGTCTACCACCTGGTTATGTGACTGCATACAATTGTGAAAGCTCATCAAGCTATTCTCTAAAAATGAGTGAATTTTATTGTGTGTAAATTATACCTCAAAAAAGCTGGAGGAAAACTCTTCGACCATATTTTCTTAATAATTTGATTCAGCAATTTTAACAACTTTATTTTCTAAAACATACAGGAGGAACCATTTAACACCCAACAGTACTGACGGTGTGACCACCAATGGAGACACTAGACTAGAGGTGGATGATGCCAGGCAAGCTGCCTGCCCTGGAGTTCATGGTGGTGGTGGGGTTGGGGAAGACGCACAGGAGCTGGCCCAGAACACATGCTCAGTAAGTACTCATTAAATAAATGAATTCATATTCAGAAATATTACCCCAAGATAAGCATCAATAGTGATATACACAAAGTTTTCTGGTTGCATGTAGGAAGGCTGCAGGGAAGTGGAGTGAGAAGCCAGCTCACAATCAGGTCACTTCAGTTCAGAAGGTTCCCACTGCCTCGATCCAGGCAGAGCAAAGAGCAAGTGCCAAAGATATGGAGGAAACTTCAAGGGAGCAAAAGTAACTGAACATGCTGAAAAGTAGTTAAGAATTTGATATTGAAAGGTCGTATATTCTTCAGAAAATTATAACATCCTACCAAGGCTGAAGCCCTGGTGGCGCAGTGGTTAAAATCTCAGCTGCTAACCAAAAGGTCGGCAGTTCGAATCCACCAGCCACTCCTAGGAAACTCTACGGGGCAGTTCTACCAGTCCTATAGGGTCGCTATGAGTCGGAATCGACTGGATGCCAACAGGTTTGGTTTTGGTTTTACCAAGGTCAGCAAGTCACAGGATTTGAGGCCAAAAAGGACAAACCTAGTGGTAGAAGGAACAGAATAAAGTAGGGGGGGTCGCAGACAAACAGACCAGTGTTGATGTTACTGTAATAATCTTACTGTCCTGATGACTACCGATCAATGCCAATGAATCTATATCAAACATATAAGGAATTCAGGCAGACCTTATAAAATAATAATAATTCAGTACTCTGTCTTATCCAGTGTATACGAACAAACTTTTTATCAGCTTTATTTTTCCTTGGAAAAAATTTTAGATCATCCTTCAAAGCCTATCATTTATGGAAAGTTTTCCTTTAATTTTGTTTAAACAATTCATCCTTACGTCCCCTGTGCATCCATAGTCATCTATTTCGCACATTAAGCTGGATAAATCTATCCCCCTACTACATTCTGAAAATCAAAGGCAAGGACTTTATCCCCAAGCTATCAATGGCAACTTAGAAACAATAATAGCTATCGTTACTTGGAAAACGTTTTATTAAGCACTAAGTACATTTTCTCTAATAACCACAGTAACTGTCGTTTCAAGAAAAGGAAACTGGGAGTGACCTGCCCAAAGTCACACAGCTAATAAAGGATGAAGCTTGTCTGATTTCTCACCACCAGCTCACCTCTCCACATAGGTCTTAGCAAATAGTACCTTCCTAATAAGGTACGCAATAAATACCTGTTGGCTTGAACCTGGCTGAAATAAACTCTGCTAGAACAAGATGTATTAAATAGTCATGTCAGTTTACTTAATTTATTATTTATATGTTAAAAAAAAAGCCTTCTTACACATCATATTGAGGAATAATAGCAATATTATACAATTCTTTTGCATTTTTGTAGGTGATTTCTAGTGCTGCCTAAAAGCTATAAGTACAAAAATTTAAACAATTTTACCTAAATACTACCACTTTAAAAAAAAAATCACTTAAAAACTGTATATATAATGATGTGCTTTCCTTCAAAAGTCTTATAAAGGCTCCAACTGCTTCAAGATTTCCACTACCTTTTTGTAGTTTATATTTAGGTTCTTTTATAACTACAATGGAATGCCCAGGTGATGCAAATAGTTACATGCTTCGCTGCTAACCCAAAGGTTGGGGGTTTAAGTCTACCCAGAAGCACCCCAGACGAAAGGCCTGACGATCTGCTTCCAGAAATACAGCCACTGAAAATCCTATGGGGCACAGTTCTACTCTGACACACATGCAGTTGCCATGACTGGAACAGACTCAATGGCAACTGGTTTTATACTTAAAATACATGGCTTCATGTGCTAGGGGCCACGGCGAACACAGAGAGCTGCTTCTTCCCAAGGAGACCGTACAGACACAAATGAATAGAAGGCAGGACAGATGAGAGGTACACAACTCAGATAAAGGAGTGATCCCTGCGAGTGGCTTCGGTGATCGGACACTTCACATAAGACATCAACCAAGAAGGAAGTGGGTGTATTCTGGGGAATAAGGAAGAAAATGCCACTGTAAATAATGAGTATGGAAGGAACTGTACTTTGGGGAAGATTAATCTATGGGACAGGAGTCTTTACAGAATGGACTAGAGCAGGTATAAGAACACAGGGAAAAAGACCACCTGAGAGGCTACAGAGCTGGCTAGACGTTAAAGGAACATATCCTCTAGAGAAAATGAAGCTTCTGTATAGAGCTCAGGAGCCCGGGTGGCGCAGTGGTTAAAATCGCAGCTGCTAACCAAAAGGTTGGCAGTTCAAATCCACCAGCTGCTCCTTGGAAACCCTATGGGGCAGTTCTACTCTGTCCTACAGGGTTGCTATGAGTTGGAATTGACATGACGGCAACATATCTGGTTTGGTTTTGGTAGCGTCCAAACTGTAACAAGAGGCCACGCAGGGCGGGGTGAGGTGCACCATTCAGTGGGAGCACCTGAGGCAGTAAGAAATACGAGAGTATCGCTGAAGAAGACGGGGAAGAAGAGACCTATCTACCCTCTCAGAGAGAAGCAGAGGCAGCTTTCAGCTCCACACGAGGCAACAACGAGGAATGTGGTAAAGGGGTGGGCTTACTGGGAATTGAAGAAAGATGATGATGGGAATCTGGGGCCAATCGGGAATGTTTTGGGATAGAATGAGTATGAAGGTTCTACAGGACAGGTGGAGAGCCTACGGAAAATGGGAGAGGGAAGGGCAGAATGACTTTTGGTTTAAGCAGAAGGAATCTGGGAGGGAAAAAGAGATGTAATGATGATGGCAAGCTAACTGAATGAGGTCGTGGGAAAGTGGAGGAGATGAGGGTTAAGGTTAACTCTGGAGAGGTGGGACAAGTCTGCTTTCTGAGATTAATGTCTGTGTGAAGGTAAAACGAAAAAAAATCGAGGAAGGAATGTTAATGTTGGGAAAAACATAAATGCTGACTTCCAACTGAGTCATTAGTAGGCAAAGTTAACAACTGAGAGACTGAAGTAAAATCTTTAGAGTAATGGACAAAGTTTAAATAGATGACGTAGGTAAAAATAAAAAGTATTTAAAAATAAAAGACAGAACCCAATCGAAGTGAACGATCATGACTTCAGAGCCGACTGAATCAAGCACAGTTTGGTAAGTCTATAACTGAGCATACAGAAAGTTCAAAAAGGGGAAGAGGATCAAGTCTCATCTAGGCCTTTATGCCAGGCGAGCATGACGAAAGATGTAAAGACTTCTCGGACAAAAACAAGGTAGCATTCACAACAGAGGACCCTGAGGGTGAGGTTCACTACAAAGGTTTGGGAAGCCGTATGATTGGCACCAAGTAACAGACCAGTATTCCTCCCAGCAATACAGTGAGGGTAAGCCTGCCTGGGGCTGGGTTTAGCAGTTGGGATATGGGTGTAAAACCACCACAGTATTCTGGAGGCAGAGTGGTGCCTGTCAGTTTTATATGAACAACTTTTGGCTATTTTTTTAAAAAATAAAAGTCTCTCCTGAAGGAATAAAGTACGCCCCTACTAACGAGATCCAAATGAGTGATATGGGCTCTGAAGCCGTTCCCTAGCATACAGCAAATGGTAGATGTTCAATTAACGTAAGGTGAAGGAAGTGAATGAGAAGGAATTCCAACAATGGCACCATGAATAACAGTTTCTCATTTTACTGAGTGAATGCAAGGAAGGGTGGTTGGACAAATGAACAGATGGATGGACAGACAGACAGATGGACAAACAGATGGACTATAGAGAGAAACGGACACAACAAACTTCCTAACATCACTGAAAATCCTGGAATCTTTCAAAGTGATTGTTTTGAAGAGAATAACATTCATGAGATTACATGTATTTTGTGAATATACTTAAAACATTTAAAATTTTATCTTTAAAAAATACTTTGGAAGACTACAGGGAAAAAAAAATTCCTATAGAAAAACTACTTCCCTAACAAGCCTATCCTAATTTTATTAGTCTAATTGCTCTTGCAATTTTACTTCCAGTAATCTTATGAGTTACTACCGTGGAAAACAGTACCAGGAAATATCCTAGAAGTTCCCTATTGCTATACCCTTTCAGTTTCTTGAAGAGAAAAACTGTATTCTAACAGGATGACTTTGTTTTCAAAAAAACAGACTTCCTGAACCATAATTTTAATTGGAAATTTACATATTTAACTCATCTTACCTCATCATATGATTTACATAGGCTTTGCTACAGCTAGTGTTGTATCTGCAAAAACTACAGTGGACATATGTAGGAAAATGGTTTGCAAAATCTTTTATTTCGGAACAACATTCAATGCAGTTGTAAACTCCCCGACGACACCTTATGGAGACATAAAGAAAATGATAAAAATGTATTTTAAAACAATAATGATAAGGGAGAATCTTCTTAATTTTCTATTAAAGCCAAGGTGTTTAATTCAACATCTTTAAACGGAGACTTTATAATCTGAAAATCTGCTATGAAACAAGAAGCTAGAAAAAGCGTAAAAAATCTAGCATCAGTTAATGTTAAAAAGGGATCAGATTAACCAAATTAAACACAAGATATATGCACAAAATACATATACCAGTGCAACAGATGAAGATTACAGAACAAACACAGTAATTCAAGTGCTGCTCAGCTGTAAAAAATACAGCTGAGAGAGACTATTAATTTTTTTTTTTTTATTGCTTGGCCTTTGTGCCAGATAAGTGACATGTGTAAACGTATAACCAGAGTTCTGTGACAGAGTAAATTTATATTAAATAAAGTTTTTAAATTTAAGATTAAATCACTACGTTTTTATTTGCTTGGCCTTTGTGCCAGATAAATGACACCAGAGTTCTGTGACAGGGTAAATTTACATTAAATATAGTTTTTAAACTTAAGATTAAATTAGTATCGTATATCAGGATTAAAAGATATTACCTTAAGTTCCTCAATGCTGTATTGACTTTACTTTTTTTATTGCTACCAGTCAATGTGTTTTGTTTCTTTTGCATATTAGAGATTTTGGGTTTGCATTTAGATTTACTTCCATTAGGCGGCTTACTCGCATTAGGTTTACTTGCACTGGGTTTAGGTGCGTTAGGTTTATTTGTATTAGACTTTATAGGATTTTTAGCCGTTAAAGTTTTAGTCCTTGGAGGTGAGAGCTGAAGGGTAGAAGTGCTTGCACTAATGGAAGGTGTAGGTAAAGATCCTGATTGAAGGGGTCCAACTGAAGCTCGAATAGTAACCTACAAAAGTGAAGACAATATTTGCTTTAGAAAAATTAATCATTACATTAGTATTAAAAATATCACTGTAATACAAAAAGTTAAACAACAAGAATTTTGAAAATAGCAAGTACAAACTAAAATTAGATAAGTCTTTCATTTATTCTAAATCTTCATACCAATTAAATGAAATTAGACTGATATCTATTCATTGCTGTTTAATACTACAGGTTTATACTGGTATCAGTTATATGTTAAGGCAAGAAATTAATGGACAATTAGGAGTTAACACAAATTATATGAATATCAAAACTGCACATTCCATAGCGATTTGTATGCCCTAATATAACTAAAAAAATTTCACAAATACAGAGATTAAAACTTAAATCTCAAAACCTGAAAAATAACTCTAGAGAGGCCTCCATAAGCCTGTAATAACACTAAAAAACAAATAGATCTACAGTAAGTGTGATCTCTTCTCAGGGTTCACTGGCAGGATTTACGCTTGCAAAGGTTATGGGAGAGATTTCATCAGTTTATCATACAGCATGGAGAGTTCGCTAATATTCAGAATTTCCTTAAAGGGAATTAATACAAAATGTGTTATTTAGTATTCAGAAAGAGAAAATGTGTGATTATATCTGCTGGTTAACAATGGAAAACACAATTGTCTACCAACATTCAATAATCATTCGACTGTACTCCCCAACATATGTGAGGAGTGGCCCATGAGGAACTCCTATGAGATACATGTGCTTTGGAATCACAGAAAAGCACTGGGCTAGGAATTGAAAGACCAGAGGATGAATCTCCGTCTGCCTCTTCCCAGCCATATGACCTCTGAAGAAGTCATTTATCCTCTCTAACTCTCCTCGTTATAATATGGAGACAATACAGGTTTTGTCTACCTCACTGGATTGCTGTATGGATTAAACAGAAAGAATGAAAAAGCAAACTGAAAGCCTAACTCCGAAGTGCTGCATACATTTAGTATCATGATTATTAATATTATTATCAACAAGGGAAGATGTGAGAGAGGGCTGCACTGCTTACATTAGTGCTCTGCATGTCTAGTCCCAGCATGGAACGAATGGACTGCAGGGAAGGACACTGGATAGCTTCTCTCGCTCTAGGTCTTCAGAGCATGCTTTACATTGTTTTAGTTAATCCAAATAACAGACACACCCACATTCAAAGGTAAGTACCCAAAGCCAAATAGAAATGTTTTGGGGATTATTTCACTTGGGATTATCCATGCCTCTGTTTCCCTCCAATGGAGCAAATATTCAAGAGCTGACTGTATATAAAGAAGTCAGAGAAAACAGATGTACATAAGGCAAACAGGGAAAAGAAAATTACAATCATCAGTATGCAGTCAGACACGTGTTTGCTCACTTAACACACAATGCTATCCAGCAGCAGAACTTGCTTTTCTGAGAGAAGGCTCAGTAATACCAACTTCAGCAAACATCTGAGAACCTATGGCATTTAAGGCATACCTACGGCATATCAGCAATGGGGATACGAAGATAAAACATGATTCCTGATCTCAGACCCCTTACAGTCTAGCAGGTAAAGCAGACATACACACTGCCAACTGGAATAGCTCAAAAACAGCCTGTAAAACATTGAAACAACCCACTGGTGCAGGCAGCAGCTAATCTAGGTGCACTTTTTACAAAGGAATACCACTCCAACATAGGACACACACTGAGCACAAAACAATGGGCACAAGGTTTTTCTTTCTAAGCTTAAGGATAGTAAAACCTAAAATTAAAGCCATAATAACGATCAGAAGTCAACTTTCAAAATACTATATTAAATAGATAAAACCAGGCAGGAGTTAATTTCTATTATCATACAAAAAGTTAAAACACAACATATTTAAAACTCACTTTTGTTCCAGGAGGCAATCCTTCTAGTTGTTTAGGTTTTATAAATGTTCGATGATGCTGAGTCTTGTGATCCATTTTCTCCTTGCAAGTCAAAAATTGCAGTCTGCATTTTGTGCAACGATGTATTCCCTTTTTCTGTTTAGAAAACAAAACAAAAAAAATGGGGGAAAATTTTCTACAACCAAAATTCTGTGACTTGAAACTGCTCTCATTTAAGGACACCTAAATAATTCTAAAACTAGTATTTTGCCCTTTCCCATCATAAATAATAGCAAAATATAATTTCATTCACTTCTAAAAACACTCCCTGCATTAGTATTTGGGTTTTGAAATTACTTAATACCCTCTAGGAGTTGAACATGAAAGTTTTGTCAGTAGGTTCTAATGAAAATTCTATCAATCGTGGTGTGAAGTATTTGAACACATCACTATGAAAATAAGATACTGCTGCCGTTGTTCGGTGCTGTCAAGTTGTCTTTGACTCACAGTGACTCCATGTGACAGAGTAGAACCGCCCCCATGGAGTTTTCTAGGCTGTAATCTTTACAGAAGCAGATCACCAGGTTGTTCTTTCATGGAGGAGATGGGTGGGTTCAAACCACCAGACCTTGTGGTAAGTTTAACTGTTGCACCACAGGACTCCTTAAAAATAAGCTATACCATATTTTTATTCTAGAAAAAGAAAATTACTTTAATTCTTGCTATTCCCAGTCCTGAGACAGAACAGATGCATCTACTGTTTGCTCAGCTGGACTCAAGTCCTGGACACCTCTCTTGTGCATACATGCCTTTCAACGTGCTAAGGGTGACGATGATAATATTACAATTTTTTGTTCTTGTTAGTTGCCTTTGAGTTGGCCTCAAACTCATGGTAACCCCATGTGCAATGGAATGACATGTTGCCTGTTCCTGCACCATCCCCTGACTGGTTGTGTATCGGACCACTGGGATTCACAGGGTTTTCACTGGCTAATTTTTGGAAACAGATCACCAGGCCTTCCTTCCTAGTCCCTCTTAGTGAGGAAGCCCTGCTAAAACCCGTTCAGCATCACAGCAACCTGCAAGCTTCCGATGACAGAACGGTGGTGGCCGCACATGGGGTGGACTGGCTGAGAACCCAACCCAGCTCCCCGACAGAAGCTGAGAATTCTACCACCGAACCACCACCATCTCACTATACGTGTTTTAATAACATGATATTCAACCAAAGAAAGAATGATCTGTTTGAAGAGGTCAGAAATAATCATGTTAAACTTTTTAACAAGCATATTATATGCTTTTCAAGGGTAATTCTGATTCCACCTGATCCTCACTTATTGAGTATCTCGTCATCCGCATTTAGCACTTATGACAATAGTAAAAAATCTACTATCAGACTATTTTGTGCATTAACAAGGCAGCGGGCATGGTGGCGATGGCTGCAGAGCATTCTGTCCCTCGAGGAGGGTCTGCAGACGGACTCTGGGAAGCTAGGCTGTGCTGCCCCGTGCCCTCAGCTCCCTCCCGCCACCGGGGGTGCCGCATCCAACTGCCTCATGGGACCGGCCTCCTCCGTGGCCATGGCCTCCAGGCGGACGCACAGGCAGCACCCAGCCAGTGGGTGCCTATTCTGGGTTCCCAGTTCCCAAGCAGCCTGAGGTCCTGCAGCTCAAAACTGCTGTGGGGTGAGAACGGAGGAAGGAAAGAAGCATTGGAGGGGGTGTTTGGAAGGAACGTGTGTGAGTTTAATGACATCCCAAAGTGAGTCAAACTGGGCCTGAAGCCTCCACCTGGGTGGGGCCGGGTGCCTGGCCAGGCTCCCAGTACGCTCGCAGGGAGGCAGAGCAGGCTCCTAGATGATGAACACAGGGCTTGCAGGGGAGGGAGTGAGCCCTGGGGGCAGCTCCGCGAGGGAAGCTCTGACCCAGCACAGGAGGAAGGGGAGTGGTTAAGTCCTGGGCCCTCCAGTCACGGCCTGGCTTTATCCAGCTTCGTCTCCTCCAAGCCTTCTTCACAGCAGAGGAATAATCCATAGCTGGCCTCTCATCACAGTGAGAAGCACATCAGTAAATCTTAGCTGTTATTATTTCTATGATCACATTTTCTTAAAAAAAAAAAAAAAAGTGGACAAACGGACGGTCTGAAAACAGAAAAAAAAACTGATTTTCGCACAATGCTGACTTTCACATAATGACCTACCTGATCTTTGGAATCTAACCATGTCGGTAAGTGAGGAGTGGGTGTATATGTACTTTCTGTCCTGACATCTAACTCCAGTGTGAAATCTAACTCTGTGGCAGAGCAGTAAAAACCTGGGCTCTGAAGTTGAATTTTAACTCTGCCATTTATTAGAGAGGGTGATACTGCTATGTTACTTCTCTAAAGCTTTGTTTCCTCATCTATAAAACTGACATAAAAATATATCTGCTTGGTAGGGTGGCTGTGAAGATTAAACACATAGTACATGTAAAGCAACAATGGCTGCCACAAGGTGATTAGTATAGAGTGTCTACTCATTGTTCTTATTAAAGATCTACAAACATAATTAACTTGAATGAAACTGCTTTCATCATTCCTTAAAAGGCATACAAACCAGATGTTAGCTCTAAAATCAACCGATGACATAATAATATATTCTTTATTTAGGAAAAGTTACAACTGAAGTTTTCGAAGATAATAAAATGATCAATACTACCCAAAGCAATCTACAAATATAATGCTATCCTGATCCAAATTCCAACAACATTCCTTAATGAGATGGAAAAACTAATCACCAACTTTATATGGGAAGGAAAGAGGCCCGAATAAGCAAAGCAATACTGAAGAAGAACAAAGTAGGAGGCTTCACACCTACTATACAGCCTCGGTACTCCAGAAAGCTAGCTACTGGTGCAACAAGAGACACACAGATGAACAGAACTGAGAACCCGGAAGTAGCTCCATCCACTACGGACAGCTGTTCGTTGACAAAGGGTCAAAGCCCACTAAATGGGGGAACAGAAGGTCTCTTTAACAAATGGTGCTGGCAAAACTGGACGTCCATTTCCAGAAGAATGAAACGAGCCACACTTCACACCATACACAAAAGCTAATTCAAAATGGATCAAACACCTAAATATAAAACCTAAAACTATAAAGATCATGGGAGAAAAAACAGGGACAACACTAAGGGCCCTAATATACGGCACACACAGAATAGAAACATAACTAAGTGCACAAACAGCAGAAGACAAATTAGGTAATTGGGAGCTCCTAAAAATTAAACTCTCATGCTTGTCGAAAGACTTTGCCAAAAGAGTGAAAAGAGAACTTACGGAGTGGGAGAAAAATTTTGGATACAATATATCCAACAAGAGTCTAATCTCTGAAATTTATAGAAAACTTCAACATCTCAACAATAAACAGACAATCCATTTAAACAAAGGGCAAAGGACACGAACAGACGCTTCACCAAAGAAGACATTCGGGCGGCTAACAAACACGTGAAGAGATGCTCACATCATTAGCCACTAGAGATGCAAATCAAAACCACAATGAGATACCATCTCAGCCCAGCAATAATGGTACTGATTAAAAAACAAACAAGACCCAGAAAACAACAAATGCAGGCGGGAGTGGGGGGAGACTGGAACTCTTACGCACTGCTGGTGGGCATGTAAAATGGTACAGTGCTTCCTTAAAAAGCTAGAAACAGAATTACTATATGATCCAGCAATCCCACTACTAGGTATATATCCTAGAGAAATAAGAGCCATAACACAAATAAACATATGCACACCCACGCATATGTCTATTTTCAATGCAGCATTATTCACAATGGCAAAAAGATGGGAACAATTCAAATGCCCATCAACAGATGAATGGATAAACAAACTGTGGTGCATACACACAACAGAATCCTACGCAAGATAAGAATAATGATGAAATTGTGAAACATCTCACAACATGGATGAATCTAGAGGACATTGTGCTGAGTGAATAAGTCAATCAGAAAAGGACAAATATTGTACGAGACCACTATTGTAAAAAGTCAATAGGTTTACTCACAGAAAAAACATTCTTTGATGGTTAGCAGGGTTGGGAGAGTGGGTGAATCACTAACCAGACAGTAAACAAGCGTTAATTCTGGTGAAGGGAAACGCTGTACACAACATGGGGAAGGTCAGCACAACCTGACCAGGGCGAAGGAAGACACTGAGAAGTATGCGAGACTAAGGGGCAACTGTGGTAAGGCTATGACATAGGATCCCGCAACAACTGCAATAACCAACTATTTGAGAGCAGGTCCCTAGGCTAATACATATGCTAAATAGCTGAGGGAGGTCGTATGGGGGTCGGTATGGCTGTGGACATTTCTACATACGTATTTGTAAATGCTGCATGTATACTTATATATATAATAGAGCACACAGGTGGCACAGTTGGAGAAACTACTTAGACGTCGCAACTGAACTACTGGACTTGAAGACGAAGGATCAGAGTCTCGGGATATCCAGGTCAACTGGCAAAACACATTTCATAAAGACAATATTCTCCATCCTAGCCTGGTGAATAGCGTCTGGGGTCCTAACAGCTTGCAAGAAGCCACCGAAGGAGCAATTACTGGTCTCTTCCCACCCGGAGCAAAGGAGAACGAAGAAAACTGAAGACTCAAGGAAGTCATCAATCCAAAGGACTAATGGCCCACATGAACCACGGCCTCCTTTAACCTGAGACCAGAGGAACTAGGTGGTGTCCAGCTACCACTATCGACCATTCTGATCGAGATCACAATAGAAGATCCCGGTTAGAATGGATAAAAAATGTAGAACAAAATTCTAACTTAAAAAAAAAGACCAGACTTACTGGTCTGAAAGAGAATGGAGGAAATCCCAAGACTACTGCCCTAAGATAACCTTCTAACTTGAAACTGAAGATACTCCTGGAAGCCACCTTTCGGCCAAATAACAGACAGGGCTAGAAAATAAACAACAACGTCCTTTACGAATATGCTCCTTAGAACAATCAACTATAGGAGACCAAAAGGACAGTATTTGCCTGATACCAACGATGAGAAGGCAGAGAGGGAAAGCGAAATGGGGCTAATGGAAAACAGGGAACCCAGGGAGGAAACGGGGAGACAACTGACGCATAGTCAGGACTGCAACCAACGTCACGGAATAATTTGTGTAAGAGTCATTGATTGGGAAACTAATTTGCTACATAAACTTTCACCTAAAGCACAATAAAATGCTCAAAAAAAAAAAAAAAAGATAATAAAATGAGCTGCGGATAGAACAGTTCCTGTTGTCTAATATCACACTAACAATATCGTCTCAATTGTAAGTTTATAATCCTGCTCAGCTACATTCAATTTAAAAAACCAGTTGCCATGGAGTCGACTCCAACTCACGGCAACTGCATGTGTGTCGGAATACAGCTGCGTGTGTGTCGGAATACAGCTGCGTGTGTGTCGGAAAACAGCTGCGTGTGTGTCGGAA